ACAAATTAAATCTAAAGCATTCAGAAGAAGGAAATAATAAAGAGCAGAAACAAGTCAAATTAAACACAAAGTAAATGAAAGCAAGATCTGGTTCTTGGAAAAGATCAATTAGAATGTGTTTAACCATACTGATAAAGAAAAACAGAAATGCACAAATTAACAGTATAAGGATTGAAAGGGAGGACATCATTACAAATCTTGCATACTTTAAGAGGATATAAGGGAATATTAAGAACAACTTTATGCCAATAAATTTGAAAAGGAAGATAATGGAGCTGGTTTGTTTCGCAAGGTAAAGTATCAGTTTAAGATGCGTTAAGTTTGGAGCTTTCGGTTCAAGATGGCAGCGTAGGTAAATGCTACTTGGAACCTTCCTACAGCCACCTCAAAATTACAGCTTAGCTACAGAACAACCACCATGAGTCACATGGAGACTGATAGAAGAGGCAGAGACATGGAACCACTGAGGAGGTCCCACCCGAAGGAACCAGGGGTCCCAGCCCCACATCAGAACTTTCAGCCCAGGGTTCTAATGCCTAAAGCCTGTGGCTGTGACAACCAGTGGAGATTGTGGCTGAATGAGACAGAGAGCTCTTGGAGTCCCTCGCAAAGGGCCCACACACGTACTCGGAACACTTGCTCTGAGCTCCAGCGCTGGAGCAACAGTGTGCAAAATGCCAGGGGCATACGGGGAAGAACTGAATCGTCTGGCTTCAGGGCAAGACTGGAGGGTGCAGTTTTCTCCTAGGCGGATGTGCTGACAAAGGCCATTTTTTTTTTTCTGAGACTTCCCCCTGACAGAGCCCACAGGGACCCATATCTGATTCTCCATCAACTTGGCTAACACTGTAAGCCCCACTCTGGTGTTTTCCTTGAGATCCCGCCTAACTGAACTTGCAGGCCCACCCAAGCCCTTTTCAGTGCCTTTTCCATACAAATGGGCTGTCTTGGCTCATGCTGCCAACTTTTCTAAAATCTCTCAAATAAGCAGTATCTATCTGGCCTCTGCATACCTCTTACCTCTTGCTTAGTAGCCCCAGGCCTGACAATAGCAGCATTTGGCCTTGGTTTGCAGCTTGGCTTCTCCCAGATCCCTCCAAGCCCAACACAAGTAGCAGCCATCTGAAGATCACTTTATAGCTTGTGCCTGGTGACCCCAGACAGGGCACAGCAGCAACTGACCTTGGAGTGCACCTTCTTGGGGGCCCCAGAGCTGGTGTACTCAGTGGACAGCCTCATACTGCATCAAAGCACCACCTAACCACCTCCACGATCGACACAGCCAAGGGGCGGATTCAGTGGACGTCAGAGCCCCATTGAAGTGAGCCCTGCTCCATAGAGTCAGCCCCTGCACAGTAGATTTTCTGCTGTGGTCACTGCCAGTCCTCACAGTCAATACGCTGGAGGAAAATCCCTTCCATGGACAATAGTCAAGGCTCAACTACAACAGAAGGGTGCACACAGTCCACCTTGGAGGGTGCACCTGGAGTGCCCAGCCTGGGTTACCAGGGAGGCTACACCACTGGGCATTACAGGACATTTACTACAGAAGACCCCTCTACCAAAACCAGGAGATAAAGTAGTTCTACCTAATTCATAAAAACAAACACAGGGTGACAGTCAAATTGAGGAGACAAAGAAACATGTCCTAAATGAAAGAACAGAACAAAACTCCAGAACTAAGCAAAATGGGAGAAAAGCAATCTACTAGATGCAGAGTTCAAAACACTGTTTATAAAGATGCTCAGTTATCTCAATGAGAATTTAAACAAAGAGATAGGAAATGTAAAAGTGGAGATAGAAAACTTAAAAAAGAATCAGTCAGAAATGAAGAATACAATAATTAAAGTGAAGAATACATTACAGAGAAGCCAGCAATTTGGAAGATAAGGAAGCTGAAAACACCCAGTCAGAACAGCAAAAAGAAAAAAAGAATTTTTAAAAAATGAGGATAGTTTAAGGACCCTCTGGGACAACTTCAAGTGTACTAACATTCTTATCATGAGGACGCTGGAAGGAGAAGAGAGAGAACAAGGAATTGAAAACCTATTTGAAAAAAATGACTGAAAACTTCCTAACCTGTGAAGGAAATAGACATACAAGTTCAGGAAGCAGAGAAGGTCCCAAACAAGATGAACCCAAGGGGCCCACACCAAAACATAAATGCCAAAAGTTAAAGACCGAGAGAATCTTAACCCTTTTCGGTCCAACATGGAGGCTGACTCGACAGACCAGGCGCTAGGAGCAGGTCCAACGTCGAGGCTGAGGTCGACACCACAAACCGGTTCAACATTCAATCCCATCAATTAATTTGGACCAGACTGTTTGAATTCCAAAAATAAAATTGGACTGCAAAGGGTTAAAATCAGCAAGAGAAAAGTTGTTAGTTACCTACAAGGTAACTAACTCCCATAAGGAACACACTCCCATAAAACTGTTAGCTGATTTCTCAACAGAAACTTTGCAGGTCAGAAGGCATTGACACAAAATATTTAAAGTGATGAAAAGCAAGTACCTGCAACCAAGATTACTCAGCAAAGCTATCCTATCTAATAAAGAGGGAATATGCTAATTGACCCTCATGCTGTTGCAAAGATGGTGGCACCCACAGCCAATAAGAAGGGAATATGCTAATTGACTGCCACACCCTAAAAGATGGAGGCGCCCCCAGCCACAAGATGGCCAGCAGGGGAGGGCAGTTGGGGGGGGGACCAGGCCTGCAGGGGAGGGCAGTTAGGGGTGACCTGGCTGGCAAGGGAAGGTAGTTAGGGGTGACTAGGCCGGCACGGGACAGCAGTTGGGGGGGACCAGGCCGGCAAGGGAGGGCAGTTAGGGGCGACCAGGCTGGCAGGGGAGGGCAGTTGGGGGTGACCAGGCTGGCAGGGGCAGGTAGTTGGGGGGTGACGGGGCCGGCAGGGGAGGCCAGTTGGGGGCAATCGGGCTGGCAGGGGAGCAGTTAAGTGTCGATCAGGCTGGCAGGGGAGTGGTTAGAGGGTGATCAGGCTGGCAGGCAGAAGTGGTTAGGGGCAATCAGGCAGGCAGGCAGTCAAGTGGTTGGGAGCCAGCAGTCCCAAATTGTGAGAGGAATGTCCAACTGCCACAGGGATCGGGCCTAAACTGGCAGTCGGACATCCCCCGAGGGGTCCCAGATTAGAGAGGGTGCAGGCTGGGCTGAGGGACACCCCCCCCCCAGTGCACGAATTTCGTGCACCGGGCCTCTAGTCATTTATACTCGAAGGATAGATAAAGAGCTTCCTATACAAGATAAAGTGAAAGGAGTTCACTACTGCCAACAAGTATTAGAAGAAATGTTAAAGGATCTTCTTTAAGAAGAAAAAGAAGGGAATAAGAACAAATTTATGAATAATAAAATACCAATAAATATTTATCATCCATATGTTCATTGCAGCATTATAATAGTCAAGAAATGGAAGCCATATATGAATGGACAAAGAAATGATGTATATGTACAATGGAATATGACTTAAGCATGAAAAAAAAAATGAAGTCTTACCATCTTCAACAACATGTATAGACTTAGAGAATATTGTGCCATTTTCTCTCCCTTTAGAGGAATGCCTTATTCATCTAAAGTTCATCCCTGAATGTCCTCTAGAAGATATCTTATAGATTATTATAATCTTTTGATAATTTTTTTTGCAATGTGTTTTTCTTAATGGTCAGGAAATTCTTTCTGCCTTACACCACCACTATTTTCTGTGGACTTACACCTTAACATCTTGTTTTATCTACGTAGAAATAGAATTTATTTCCTTACTGTTTTTCTCTAATTTATATTTCTAATAGAACCTGTTCTATCCTGCTGATTTTTAAAAATCGTCTCTTTAATCTCAGTCTTGTGTACATAATTTAAAAAAATATGATAGCCTTAAAGAAGTTGGGAAAAGAAGCTTATATAGCAAAAATAGCACTTCACAATTTTTGAATATATGAAAAAGTGAAATCACAAATTGGTATGGATTGAAAGGATCATATAATACATGGCCCATGAAGAATTAGGTGGTGATTTGGAAAGAATTAAATTACATACTTTTGAAAGAGTTTCCCCATTTGTTTTTACACTTAAAAATTATAAAAGAGAATACAGATGAAAGTTGGTATTATGGGGTATAAAAATTTAAATCTACATACAAAATATAAGAAATGCCTTAACTAAATTAAAGAGGAGGCAAGCTAGGGAAGAATAGCTCAAAAATTACAGAAATTTAATATTCTGAATATAACAAGAACACACAGATGGATATGATAAAAGAACTTACATAAACATATAATTCACAATAGAGCAAAGGTAAAGATAGTTTCTAAGCATGACAGATGTTCTACCTCACAAAGATATAAAATCAAATTAGTGAGATGTCATTTTTACCTAATAATAGAGATTTTGTATCTTTTAATAGATATTATTTTATAATGCCTGGTTAGGATATGATAAGGTTTGTGTCTTTCACTCTTGGTGAAAATGTAAGTTGTTACATTATTTACTAAACTCATTCTGACATATCTTGAAAATTACTGACTCAACCCATTCTTCTTTTAGGATTTGAGCAAAGACTATTAATATTAGCATTAGTAATTTTAAAAAAAAAAAAGATAGGGATAAGGAGAGAAAGAATAGGAAACGACTTACATGTCCCAAAATAGAGGAAGTAGTTATAATAATTATAATACAATTTTATGATGGAAAAGTTATTTGACTATTAAAAATCATGTATTTGAACACTTTAACGATGCCGGGAAAGTGTCAGGATATAATGTCAAGAAGAAAAGTAAAATACAAAGTTTATACTAAATAATCTGAAACTAGTTTTAAAAATTGTACATATACATCTAGGCATTCCCACACCAAAATGTTAACAGTGGTTATCTTTGGGTAACTAAAGAAATATTTTCTTAATTTTCTAAAATAATCATATATTATTTTTATAATCCTCAAAGGTTTTCCCTTTTTTTTAATTAAATTTATGGAGGTGACATTGGTTAATAAGATTATATAGGTTTCAAGTGTACATTTCTATGATACATGATCTGTATATTGTACAGTGTGCCCACTCCTCAAAGTAAAATCATCTTCTGTCATCATATGTTTGGCCCTCTTTTACCCTTTACCACCCTCCCATCACCCCTTCCTTCTGGTAACCACCATACTGTTGTCTGTGTCTATGAGTTTCAGTTTTATATCTCACATATGAGTGAAATCATATGGTCCTCAGCTTATTCTGACTGATTTATTTCACGTAGCATGATATTCTCAAGGTCCATCCATGTTTTTGCAAATGGCAGTATTTCATTTGGCTGAGTAGTATTCCGTTGTATATCTGTACCACATCTTCTTTATTCAGTCATCAGTTGAAGGACACTTGGGTTGTCTCCATGTCTTGGCCACCATGAATAAAAAGAAACCACCAACAAAACAAAAAGGTAATCAACCAAATGGGAAAAGATATTTGCAAACAACAGCTCCAACAAAATATTAATATATATATATTTTTAATATATTTTTTAACTTAATACCTAAAGCCACATTTCAATCAGTGCTGTAATTTAGAAAAGAGACTAAACACAATTGTGAGGACCTTCTGCCAAAAGATATAGATGTTAAGTAGTTTGTGTTGCAGAGAGTAAACAGCAAATTCTGGTAGACCTCAAATTCTGAAATCTCTTGATTGGGTAGTACAAGGACAAAGCTTGAGCAGCCTGAAGAAGGAAGGATGAAAACTGGCCCACTTTGAGCCTCTTTTCCTTAGCATTCATTAGCCTTGTGAATCTCCAAGAGTAAAATAGAATGTGTATATATAGTGTTTCCCAAATCTGTTTGACTATGGACGTTTCTTAGTTGACTCAGTAATACCTTTTGTGAAAAATTTTATTTATTGATTTGAGAGAAGGAGAGAGAGAAACATCAGTTTGTTGTTCCACTTATTTATGCATTCATTGGTTGATTCTTGTATGTGCTGTGACTGGGGATCAAACCTGCAACCTTGGCATATCAGGGCGATGCTCTAACCACCTGCGCTGCCTGGCCAGGGCCTCAGACTCAGTAATATCTTAAAGGGTGCAATTTGGGAAACACTGATGTAGGGATATTCAAAAAGGTAGACAGCCTGGCTGGTGTGGCACTATGGTTAGAGTGTCAGCCTGCTCACTGAAAGGTCACGGGTTCGATTCCCAGTCAAGGGCACATGCCTGGGTTGCAGGTTCAAAGCCCAGCATCAGTTGGAGGGTGTGGGAGTCAACTGATCGATGTGTCTCTCACATTGATATTTTTCTCTTTCTCTCTCTCTCCCCTTCCTTCCCTCCCTTCCACTCTTTCTAAAAAAATCAATGGGAAAAAATATCCTTGGGTGAGGATTAACAAAAAAAAAAAGAGGATAGACAAGATTGAGGTTGTCAAATGGTGGTCCACAGTCCAAATCCAACCAACCGTCTGTTTTTGTAAATAAAGTTTTATCGGAACATAGCAGTGCAAATTTGTTTACAGATTGTCTGTGTCAGTCTATAGTTCCTTTCACATTGTAATGGCAAGGTGAGTATTTGTAGCAATGACCAAAATATTTATTTTGTCTCTTTACAGTAAAAGTTTGCCGAACACTTGACTATATGATGCATATCTTTCAGTCCTGATAGTTTATGATTCTAAATTATTTCTGGTCATTAGATGTCTGTTTCACTTAAAATAGGGTAGGTGGAAAAGGAAGAAGAGGAACAGGAGGGTGAATAATCCTATATAATAAAACCCTAATATGCAAATCGATCAAACAGCAGACACTGGTCGCTATGATAAGCACTGACCACTGGGGACAAATGCTCAACACAGGCGCTGCCCCCCGTGTGCTCCCACACGGGGAGCGCCTCTCAGCCAGAAGCTGGGCTCATGGCTGGCAAGCGCAGTGGCAGTGGCGGGAGCCTCTCTTGCCTTGGCAGCAGTGCTAAAAGGCAGCGAGCAGGCAGGCGGTAAGGAGCGAGGGGTCCCAGACTGTGAGAGGGATCCCAGACCGCGAGGGGGATGTCTGCCTGCCAGTGAGAGGGCACAGGCCAGGCTGAGGGACCCCCCCACCCACCTCCAGGGCATGAATTTCGTGCACCAGGCCTCTAGTGTAAGGATAAGGGAAGAAAGTCATACTTGGTGTGTAAGGAGATGTGCATTGGTGAATGACTTCAAGAAGAAACTCTTATCGGTAGAATGACAAAGAGTCTGCTAGTGCGTCTCTACGGCTGACATTTGAGAGACACTTAAGCACAAGAAACACCATGCAGTATATTACTGAAAGGGGAAAGATCTGTTGTCATGGTACTTATCTTCATGTACCTTGTTTAAAATTATTGTGGAAAGTATTTGAGCATCTTCCACACAATTTTTACAAGGGGAATTTTCTTATACCAGAAGTATGTGGCTGTGTGTACTGGCCATTAGCCCTCTCTTGGCTGCAAGAAGGTACTTTGGTGCATCCACAATGGGCCTGTGATATGACTGGACAATATGGTTTTTATGTTAATTATCACTTTTTAACATTAAGTGAAATTTCATAATTATAGTTAAAATATATAGAACATTTGTGCAACACTATAAAACAGCTTTTCTAAAATCAATCAAATTGGGAAGTGGAATGTGAGAATGACTATGATTAAAACATTCTTTCCCCCCCTCCAATTCTATTGAGATATAATTGACATTTAACATTGCATAAATTTAAGGTAACATGATGATTTGATACACACATATATATTGTGAAATGTTTACCACAGTAAAGTTAGTTAACACATCCTTTACTGCACATAACTATTATTTTGGTTATTTTGGTAAGAACGTTAAAGTTCTACTCTTATAGTGACTTTCAAGTGTACAAGTGTTAACTATAGTCACCTTGCTGTATATTAGATCCCCAGAACTCATTCATCTTAGACCTGGAAGTTTGTATCCTTTGACCATCATCTCTTCATTTCCCCTACCTCTCAGCTCCTGGCAACCACTGTCTGCTGTTTCTGTGAGTTCTGTGTCAAACATACCTTAAAAACACACACACACACACACACACACACACACACACACACACAAAACACACCTATTTGTGTCTTTAATGGCTACCATCCCCTGTCCTAGAACTTGTTCTGTCTCCTACTACCTTAGTTATTTAATTCTAATCCTTCCCCTGGGCCTTTGTGTTCAGCAAACCAAATTAATCTCCATTCATTAGCAGTTTTAACTTCTCAAAGTCATTTAACATTTCCTCTTACTTATTTTCTTCCTGCATCATTCTAATTCCTCTTCTAAAGCATAATTTCCTCCCAAACTATGTATACGTACTTTTTATAGATAAGACAAAAATAATAACTTTATTAAATATTTTCAGTTGGTTCTTTTAAATCATTTTTTATATTTCAATTACAATTGACATACAATATTATATTAGTTTCAGGTGTACACCCCAGTGATTAGACATTATATAACTTAATAAGTGATCACGATAAATCTCATAGCCATATGACACTATACATAGTTATTAGAATATTATTGATTATATTCCTTTTGCTGTACTTTACATCCCAATGACTGTTCTGAAACTACCAGTGTACTTCTTATTCCCTTCACCTTTTCACCCGTTTCTCCAATGCCCTCCCATCTGGTAACCATTAAAATATTCTCTGATTCTCTGAGTCTGTTTCTGTTCTGTTCATTTGTTTATTTTTGTTTTTTAGATTCCATTGTGTTTTTCTTTCCCTTTTTAATGAATTTATTGGAATGAGACTGGTTAAAATTATACAGGTTCCAGTGCTCAATTCCACAACACATCATCTGTATACTGTATTGTGTGTTCATCACCCAAAGTCAAGCCTCCTTCCATCACCATTTATCCCCCTATACCCTCCTCCACCCCTTCTAGATATGTATTCATTGCCACTTTATTTTTTATATTTTTTGTCTTTTTTTCTTCTTTTTAAACAATACCCTTTAACATTTCATGTAATGCTGGTTTGGTGATGATAAACTTTTTTTAGCTTTTTCTTATCTTGGAAGCTCTTTATCTGTCCTTCAATTGCTGGGTCAAGTACTCGTGGTTATAGGTCCTCGCTTTTCATCACTTTGAATATTTCTTGCCATTCCCTTCTGGCCAGCAAAGTTTCTGTTGAGAAACTAGCTGATAGTATTATGGGAGTTCCCTTGTAAGTAACTAACTGCTTTTCTTTTGCTACTTTTAAGATACTCTCTATGTCTTTAACCTTTTCTTTTTTTTATTGATTTTTTTTCTTTAGAGAGAGAGAAGAAGGGAGAGAAAGAAACATCAACTTGTTGTTCTACTTTATTTATGCATGAGTTGGTTGTTTCTTGTATGTGCCCTGACCTGGGATCAAACCTACAAGTTGGCATATCAGGATGACACTCTCACAACTGAGTTACCCAGTCAGGGCTATGTCTTTAACTTTTGCATTTTAATTATAATTTTATTGGTGTGGGCCTCTTTGAGTTCATCTTGTTTGGGAATCTCTGTGTTTTCTAGACTTGTATGTCCATTTCCTTCAACAGGTTAAGGATGTTTTCTGTCATTTTTTCAAATAGGTTTACAGTTTCTTGCTCTTTTCTCCTTCCTGTACTCCCCTGATGCAAATGTTGGTACATTTAAAGTTGTGCCAGAGGTTCCTTACACTATCCTCATTTTTAAATTTTTTTCTTCCTTTTTGCTTGTCTGATTGGGTATTTTTTGCTGTCCAAATTGCTATTTTGATTCTTGGCTTCATCTACTCTACTGTTGATTCCCTGTAAATTATTCTTCATTTCAGTTAGTGTATCCTTCATTTCTGATTGGTTCATTTTTATGATTTCCATGTCCTTTTTATGCTGTTGAAGTTCTCTTTAAGTTCATCTACTCTTCCCTGAAGTTTATTTAGTATCCTTATAACCAGTGTTTTGAACTCTGCATCTAGTAGATTGCTTGTCTCCATTTTGTTTAGTTCTTTTTCTGGAGTTTTATTCTGTTCTTTCATTGGACATGTTTCTTTGTCTCTTCATTTTAGCAGTCTCCCTGTGTTTGTTTTTATGTATTAGGTAGAGCTTCTGCATCTCCGGGGCTTGGTAGAGTGCCCTAATGTAGTAGGTGTCCTGTAGAGTCCAGTGGCACAGCTTCCCTTCACCCAAGCTGGGCATTCCAGATGTGCCATCCACGTGGGCCTCTGTACACCCTCCTGTTGTAGTTGAGCCTTGATTGCTATTGGCACATCAATGGGAGGGATTTACCCCCAGGTCGATTGGTTGCAAAGACTGTCTGCGACCACCATGGAGGATCAGCTGTGTAAGGGCCAACCCAACAGAGCAGAACTTACTTCAACTGGCCTCTGGTGCCTGCTGAATCTGCCCCTTGAGTGTGTCGCTTGTGGAGGTGGTTGAGTGGTGCTTCAACGAGGCCTGAAGTTGTCCACCAGGTACTCTGGCTCTGGGGCCTTCCAGAAGGTGCAGCCAAAGTCAGCCGCTGCCTGTGTTTTGCCTGAGACCACTTGGCATGAGCTACAAAGCAGCTGCTACTTGTGCTGGGCTGGAAGGTGCCAGGGAGAGGCCAAGCTGTGATCCAAAGCTGTTAGTGCCAGGCATGGACCACTTAGCAAGAGGTACAGAGCACACCAAGGCCAGATTCTGCTTGTTTGAGAGATTTAGGAAAGTCTGAAGCATGCATGAGCCAAGACAGGTCATTCTTATGGAAAAGCCACTGGGAACAGCTTGGGTAGGCCTGCAAGTTGGGTGTAACAGAGTCTCAGGGAATCACCAGAGTGGGGCAAACAGTGTGAGCCAGGTTGATGGAGACTCAGATATGCCACTTGCCTTCGGGCTCTGCAGCGGATGGGTTCAGAAAAGGAACAATGTCATTTGCCACCACTGCTGTCTGGGAGAAAGCTATTCCTCCTTGGTGCCTTTCAAGCTGCTGGCCCAGCACTGGAGCTCTAGAGGGAGTAAGTCTGTGCATGGGCCTTTTAAGAGGAACTGCCTGGGACTCTCACAGCCTCATTGTCACTCAGCCACAATCCCCACTGGTTTTTACAGCCTGAAGTTATGGGGACTTTTATTCCTGGCACTGGAAACCTGGGCTGGGGGGCCTGGTGTGGGGCAGGGACCCGTCGCTCCTCAAGGGGGACCTTGCTAAACATACTTTCTTAATCAAAACATTTAAAATATAATTTTTAATATTTAACTTTACTTTCATGCATTTTTAGGAAGATTCTTAATTTTAGAAGAATTTTAATTTTAAAATTAGGAAGAATCTTAATTTTAGAAGATCTTGTGGCTTTTAAAATATTTAACTGAATATAACATTTTTTTATTCACTTCCAGTTTAAATTGATATTACCTGTCATTTTAGTTAAAATACTTTATATCTTAGAATCATCTATTGAATGATTTTTAAAAAAGTATCGGCATATAATTATTACAGGTATATTTAGAGTAGTAAGAATTAAGGTAAAATGTATCTTTGTTTATTAATTTTTTATTAGTCTTTCTTCCGATCAGTTTGAGTTTTAAAATAGTTTCTAAAATTATCAAGTAATATTGAAATGTAAAAACACAGCAGTATGATTTTTCTTTGTACATCTGTTCATATCAAGTGTGATTATTGGCATTTTTTTATTTCCAGTAAGGGAAGACATGTTGGTGAAAATGGAGTAATATGAACTTGTTTTTATTAAAGGAAATTCATACTTTACCAACTCATTAAATGACTTCTAGGATATTATGGCTGTGGTAGATAAGGATACATATGAGTTTCACTTTTTTTTTTTTTTTACAGAAACATTAGTAAAAAATTCCATATAGTATCTGAGATAAATATTGGATAATAGAAGTCCTGGAATAAGTGACTAGTGGTCTGGCATGATTAAAAGTTGGCTAGATAGCAGGAAAGTATTAGTCATTAATGGAATATTTTAAATCTGAAGCACCAGATATGTGATAGTTGGTGTTGATTTTAATCAAAGGATAAATTCCAATAATTTATTTTGCTTTTTTATAGCAGTAATAACAACTTTAAGAAAAGTTTAGCGTTAGACAACTGTGATGAAATTTGACTTCTTAATGATGAATTCCATGTCCGGGAACTTTCTAATATTAAAAGTGCATCTAATGTCAATGCCAGTGTTGTAGTTAGTTCTTGACTGCCATTGTCTTGCTGAGTGATTGGAAATTCTGTGATTTTTATTTTATATAAAACGAAGGAATTAAATGATCTCTTAGGTTTCTTATCATGCAAGTACTCTATTAAATGAAGTTGTTTTAGAAATATATGCATTAAATATAAGAAACATTTCAGAACACCTTTTCTGTCTAGGTATTGAAATAAGTAGATATTTTATTTGCTGAAAGATTGCAATGTTGCCTTTAATAATTTTGTTACCTGCCACAATGTATATACTGAAACAAACCTTGTGTTAAAAATCTGAAGTATTGACCCTAGCCAGATTTCTCAGTGGTTAGAGCATTGGCCCATGGACTGAAAGGTCATGAGCTTGATTCCAGTCAAGGGCATGTACCAGGTTGCAGGCTTGATCCCTGGTCCCCGGTTGGGGCGGGTATGGGAGGCAGCCAATTGATGTGTCTCCCTCACATCAGTGTCTCTGTCTCTCTCTCTCTCTCTCTCTCTCTCTCTCTCTCATTCCCCTTCTTCTCTCCCCCTTCCTTCCACTCTCTCTAAAAAAATCAATGGAAAAAATATCCTTGGGTGAGGATTAACAACAACAGCAAAAAAATAAAATAAAAAATCTGAAGTATTGGCTTCATGTTCCAAACCAGTCTCTTTGAGCATCCGTTTCTTTATCTGTTAGGTATAAACAATAGTCTCTGCACAGCATACCTCTGAGGGGCAAATAGAATAATATATATTAAGCATTTTGTAAATTTTAAGTACTCTGTAACTTTAAGGTAATAGTAATTTGAAAAAATGTACAAAGGCAAAGCTACTTAGTGGGAATTCAGTAGTCAGCATTAAACTAAATTAAAATGAAGATAAAAGTTTAACTTCATGAAACAAGGTTTAAGGATTTTTTTTCAGTAGTCAACAAAAACCCATTTAATATTTAGTTACATCATTTAAATTTGCAAAACAAGAAAAAATCTTATATGACCAGATTGCAAAGCATCTGAAATGGTGGTCTGGTTAAAACTAAACTTGCACTAAAATGGTTTTAAATAAATGTAACACATTTTCATTGTCACAAATAAGAATGTATAATGTTTTATAATACAGTAAAATACTGCAAATTCTAATCAAAACTACAATGTTTGAATTAGTGATTCAATAACTTTGTGTGCATGCTTTCTTTTGTATTTTTTAAAAACCTTATTTTAAATAAATTTATCTTGAATGTTTATATACCTCAATTTTAATAGCA